GAGGACATCGTGTGAGAGAACCCTCTCTCGCATTCTCGAAGCTGAATTTTTTTTTCTCTCGCGGACGTTACACGATGCGAATGACATTCGCGACACCCGATATACGCAGTAATCCTTTGAAATGGTTTTTTAGCGTTATCGATAACCGGAGGCTATGTAGCAAAAACTTTGTTATCGATACTTCGAAATTTAATACGACATTTATGAGTTCTATAGGCGATGAAAAGATAATGGCATCAATTTCTGTATTGAACGAAAAAAATCAATGGAAGTCATTTACACTTAAAGAGTTACTATTTTTATTCTTTATACTCTCACTTCTAGTTTTAATTCGATCTATGAATGATTAACAATCGATCTCCAAAAAATAGACAATCCTCGTATCAACTCGAAAAGGTGGATTGTTTTGTAGATAGACGAGAACGACCGGTATTTCTGAACCGTTTGGTCTCGATAGCGGCGAAGAGAGACGGTAAAAATTGGTAAACAAGCAAGCCGGTTGGTCTTTCTGGTCGACTGACTTTTATCGCGACGCCCAGTAGATTCGCCCACGAGTAAGTGTGTGTACACGCGGAGTGTAACGCGATACGTATAATACATTATACGTGTGAGTGTCGAGACACGCGATTACGTGTATTATATGTGTTTATATAGTACGCGCACATGCGTGGCATTGGCGTAACGCCGCTGTTTCCTGCCTGGCCCGGCAGACTTACTACAATACTTGGTTATAAAAAATAACGATGCATCCTGGCGGTTCGTGAAACACGCGGTATACCACATTATTACGTTGAAAAATAAGAACAGCGAAGGATGTGGATTAATAAGCTGGTAGAACGATGTCGAGAACGTATGGACGATTGGGATGGGACGAGATGGAACAGATTAAAGAGAAAAATTTGCGAGAAAACTTTTCAAGATAATTATAGCGGATGTAAGAGAACTAACTACTTCCTAGCGATCAAGCGAGAGAGAGAGAGAGAGAGAGAGAGAGAAAGAGAGAGAGCATTTTATATAAATTCACGCAAAACGGAAAATAAAAATAAAAATTAAAGTTTTATGACTTTTATGTATTATTTTATTAGAAATTTTATTTAGAATCGTATAAAATTGATCTATTACTATATGTTTTTACGCAACTCGGTCTTTCTAGATCAGCCGATCGCATAATCTCAATTATTATGCCTTACGCGATTTACGTATCGCGATGTTCTAGTTTTTATGTAATTTTACTTATTGTTAGCTGAAACAAAATTTACTTTTTAACTACTTTGTTATTGAAATTGAGCGTCGAGATAATCCAGTTTTATTCATATTTTGCGTACTTTTTATATAAGAGGAGATCTCGTCATCTGTGCTTTCAGACATGTGCTTTTTCGATTAATAGCTATATTTTGAAACGCCTAGTATTTTAATTTATATAGAAATTTAAAAATCGAGTTTTTTATTGTTATGTTAAATTGATATTTTTATTATTCACAAAATAAAAGGTTTTTTTTTCAAAGATTTGAAATACACATCTATTGAGAGAATAAAGCAAACATATTTATTAAAACGTTAAATTTTAATTACCATGTACAATTAAGATAACACGTTATAAAATGTCCAAATTTTTTAAAATTGCTCAGCTTTGCTTCTGAAAATAAAAATATGGTTTGAAAGGATCTAAAAAGCTTGACCCATTTTGCTAGTTAGCATTGAATAATCTCATATAACATGTGTATAGTCCTCTCTATTTTTTAAATTTAATTAAATATATAAAATAAAATTGGCGAAAACTGGGATTTTAAAAGCCCCGCAGCTACAACGATCCTGAGCACTAATAAATACGCCATTGCTTGCATTTGCACGCATATTCGCATATGTGCACGCGCATATATCGCGCGCACATCATGCAAGTTTTCGCGTAACCATTAATTAGATTAGCATATGCCGGAAAAAGATGATGTCCGCACGTAATGCGTCCACTTATATCCGCCGGCAGCGAAGATGCCATTATCTCGACGGTACGTTAATGACATTACGGAATATCATCCGTTGTTGCCAGCTACATTGCACAAGCGAGTTTTTTTATATTTATATCTTCTTGCGCGAGTATATAAAAATAAAACCGACTGACGACCAAGAACGCTGGATTATTTTTCGCCTCGCAGATGCACTTATTTGATATTTATATCGAATTTTTATTCAAAGCATGATTACACTTTACTTGCCATTTGCGTTGCGGAAAGAAATAGCAAACAGTTGATTGACGCAAATTGTAGGGACGTTTCTTTTATTCATTTTTTGTGAATTTTATCAAGTTTTCAATAATTTTATTTTCTCGAATATGCTTATGATGCTTCTTGTTAGAAAAAGCTGTTACAAATTTTTCGAGAAAGACCATTGTTCGCTGTAACATTCTAATGTACAACATTACTTATATATCGTGATAATTGAATCTTGATTTTAAAATTCACTATTTATTTCATGCTCAGTTACATTATTTCATCAAATTTATTTTTCAAAAAATTTTTTATTTTGATCGCTTACAATTACTTTCTCCGCCCAGGCACACATGTCGTACACGCACACACGAGTTTGCATATATTAGAGCTCGCAGGATATAAGAACTTTTCTTTTCGCATGTACGCGCGATCAAGGTGCTTTCGCGCATGCACGCGAGATACATAAATGAACATGTGTGTATCCGCCGGAATGCAACGGCCTACGTGAAATGCCTGGCTCCGTGCCAGAGACTTTAACCTCAATTTGCAATAAAACACACACGGGAGTACGAGAGAGAGAGCAGGGTGGATTCTTCCGCCCGGACGCGTGCGCATCTCGCAGATTCCCGCTCCCTTTTCTGCTACGAAAATGCGAAGGGAGAGCCAACAAACAATGCTTTGTGCATCGCGAGGTATGCCGAATATATTTTTCAGTAACATTGTTCGAGAATTTCGTCTCGGTTCTGGTTTCGTGATTTTTTTTACATTAATCGCGATTTTTTGAAAGACCGAAAATCAAACGTTGAACGATTGATATTTGTTGCCTATTATTTTGCCTGCTACCATTAACATGATTGATAATGATTGTGATTAAAGCCTTTTTTGAATCTGTAAATATGAAATAAAATTAGCTATGCGTTTAATAAAATGTTGCAAGAAATTATCGGTGCTGGCAAAAGATATGTCTTCTGAAAATTTCTTTACACCTTTATGTACTTATTTATTTTTATCGCATGTCACAACACGTGAACCATGCAAAATCTCATTTATAATTGCGTTGGTATGCGAAGGAAAATTACAATATGTCAAGCGGTGTTATATTCTAGAAGAAACTTAAGGTGTAAAAAATTTCAGTAATTTGGCGAAGCACTCAAGACTTTTAACTTCATTTTTGTGGAAGTTTAGAATTTTATTAAGAGATTCTTGGAATTCCTCGGCACACTGAATTCTTGTAATTTAGTCTGTACCTTTCCTGCTGTTTCCTTTTTTCCTCGCTTATGCACTGCGGTATTACATTGCGTTATATTATCTAGTCTGATATATAGAGTATTTCTTTTACTTGATCTTGTATAACTTTATTAAAAAGCTTAACTTTTCCTTAGCTTAGAAAGACCAATAAGTTTCAATACTAAACAAGTTACAAACTAAAATATTTTTCCTCGCTCGAGTTGGATTCTTAAGATTAAATAACAGCACTTTGTTTATTAAAATTTAGAATAATAATTATCGATGACTTCTCTTTTCGAAATTACGATTAAGAAGTAATTCCGAATTTGCCGTAGAATCCGCTGTTAAAATTTAGGTCATCGTCTTTGGCATGCATGTATACGCGAAATACTTGCGTTTATCTCGAAGCGCATTCGTGTCTGCGTCCGTTTATCACCGTGGTAATAAATGCGGCAGTTAAACAAAGACGGTAACCTCTTCTACGCCCCCCCCCTCCCCCCTCGTTCCTTCCGCGCTGTTTCTCGTGTGTCAGTGCTTTACGAGCGACAACAAAGAGCCGAGACTGACGTTACGATTATCTGACTGCGGGTATATGTACGTATATAGTACGAGCAAGGACGTAGCCGAAGACGAAGACGACAAAAGCGAGGATGATGCGGGAAGCAGATAGAGATCCCGGGGCCATCCAGATTCAATAAAGTCTCGGCTGGCTGCGCGATCTCGCCATGATGTAACTCGCGCAAATACATGTCAGAGACATGCTGTCGACAGTTCGGAAAGATGTAACGAAGACTTCTATTCATGTCGTACATTCGAGGTGTCTTAGATGGATTTGCGTTCCATGGCGTTTCCGCTGCCTCAAATAACACGACTCTTAATCCATCGTTATTATATTTACATAACTTTGAATGAACAAATATTTTTAACGCAAGTATCTTGCGAGAACAGAAAAAACAATTGCACTTGTTATCTTTATCCCGTTATTATTTTATTTATTTTTTATAGGAACGGTGTTTAAATATATTATTTTCCTACGAATTTATTTACTGCGTATTTTTATTACTGTGATGAGTTTTGTCAAACTCGATGTATCGCAATCGTACAAAAATCGATTTTGTTGCGGCATACGATTATACTTAAGCTAGAATTTTGCGTGTTCGTAGTGTGCATGATCGGTCGAGTTGCAATAAATCGGCCCGATCGTTCATTTTAATCGCCAAACGTCAGCTGATTTCGAAAGGAAAATGTGTGGAAACATTTTTGTTGCACGCGATTCAATGATCGATCTGTATCTGCAATTAGCTTTTGCCGAGAATGAGCGGCTAACATTCGCGTTTATTTGGATAGTTCAATCTACTTTGTTCGAGATTTATTTATTTCTTCGCAACATGTTACCAAACACCAATGCATCAAATTATTTTTGAATAGGTCTGAATAAACAATAGAAATTTTTAATTGCATTTGCACAAAGTTTCAATTTTATGTATACATATCGACTTTCGCGTTCCCTCTTATTGTTCGAAAAAGACAAAGGAAAATTAATCAGTGTCTTTACTTATTGTTTAGCCTCGACCTGGAAGAAGGCCACGAAGACGACCGGGAAACGCGGCACAATTGCAGACAACTCCGAGGGTACAAAGTCCGATATCTCAGCAACTCGAAAAAGGTAAGAGTGATGCCTGAATTTTTTTCGCAAAATATTCAAATATGCGATCATGATTTTTCTCACGATCCACGTCTTAATTATCTCACCGCGGAATTATATTCGGTTGTCAGATCTTCATAGTCTGCACAATGTAAAAGTTTCGTGAATATAATTGACCATTATGTCCCTAACAAAATTAAAATATTTTTCGTCAAGAATAAAACATTCAAACGTGAATTAATTATCCGAGAAAACTATTTATACGGAAATTACTTATGTGAGAAAGCTGTGTTGAAGAATTGTGCACTTGTCTGGATACCGCGATATATTTGAAATAACGAACAATTTTTTAAATGAAATTTGAGAACTAAAGTTTAAGTCTCTCTAAATTTTCGCGAATGATAGTCGATATAAGGAGTGAAGAACTTCCTTTCGTGGAATATCTAAAGACCATGATAGCAAATGGCGTGCCATTTGAAATTGAGATTTAATAGGAGCGTAAATGGAGCGAAACTCTCTCTCTCTCTCCCCCTGTCGCTCGCTTGCTCGCTTGCTCGTGGAAGCGCTCGAGAGAAGCTCGGTTGCCCGAAATTCATTAGTCGGTTCGTGGAATGTCTGCCCCGCTAATTTCGCTCTGGGGCGGAAGTGGTGTAGCACTCGTGCTGATGAATACAGTTTTAATCATGTTCCGAAGGCAGCAAAGTTTTGGCGCGTGCGTTCGTAATGTCGGAGTTCCGTCGTTTTCATCGAGAGGCGGCATTAGAAATAGGCGCCGTGCTTCGATAAATCTTTCCGAATCGACGCGATCGGTCGGTCGGTCGGTCGGCCGGTCGGCCGGCTCGGGTAGGGCTGGCACAGTCTCGCGCCCGACAGCCGTTAATTGTTATCGGATAGTAAAAGCTTATCCGGCGCTCAGTTTCCGATACCTGCTACTATAGTATTACTTGGCGTGCCATTCTTGCTTGCGCTTGTCAAAGGATCGTTTCGCCGATCAATCGTTCGAGCAATTTCGCCCTCGCGCGCACGAACGAAAGTTCTTATTTAACAACGCGATTCCCGGCGTTTCGGGTATCATAATAAAAGCGCGATAAAAGCGCCGTGATATCGCACTCGCGTCGTGTCGTACATCGGCAAGTGCTCGTAAACATCGCAGATCAAGATGGAGAAACCGCGTAAAAACCGATTGCTATGCCAAATGCTAATGCTATTCTGATTTTTAAAATGGTGTTTCATACTTGAAACTGCTATTTTTTAACTCTATCTATAATTAGAATATTAAAAAACAAAGTCAATAAGTAATCTCTCTAAAATTAAAAAAAAATTTTTATAGATCTTAATACATTATATATCATTCGAATATACAATATATTAGAGATAAACGTGTTTTCATATATTATGTCGCGGAAAAAAACATTAATCTACGAAAGTGCGCAGTGAAAAGTTGGTAAAGTGTCGCGTGGGACACCCGCTACGTACGAAATGACATCGTCGATAAACCGCCAGTTATCGGGGCAATAACTATAACTCCCTCTCCGCATCTCGTGCACCGATGTTGAGGCGGAAGAGCCTAGGTAGCCGTGAGCTACCGCATAGCTCCGTCGACCCAGTGTCCAGGTCTTCGTCTGGTCGATGAAGCGAGGTCAAACGGGGTCATCGTCACTGCCGTCGTCGCCGTCGTCGCCGTCGTCGATAGGTGCGCGCCAAATCGACCCGTGCGAAGGTCAGACGGGACGAGCTCGGTCACTCCTCGTCTCCGAGCGATTCGGCCGCGTTCATTCATGGACTCGGGAAGCTGCCAGGGAATCGGAGGGTTATTTCGAGTGCCGGCCGGCCGTACGATACACCGACCGAAAAAAGACGTAACACGATCGAGGGTGGGCAGGGAACGGCAAGGTGGAGACGGAGCGAAAAAAGAACGGCGTGCGAGGATGGAGGGTATCGGGAGAACGGGTTACCGGAGAGGACGCGAAACGGAGGAGGAGGGGCGAGGAGTATATAGTCGTATATAGCCGGGACGAGGGAAATAAATGGTTCGAAGAACCGGTAGAAACCGGTCCGCGGACAAAAGACACGTTGCCGGCACCGCCTGAACCGCAGTGCCGCCGAGCGATTCGCGGGACGCAAAGGGAAGAGAAGAAAGAAGTCGATCGGGAGTGCGAGACGCGGGAGAGTGAAAAGGGAGAAAAGGCTGACTCAGGAGGGAGGAAAGGGTCCGGTGATTCCGGACGGAGGAGGCTGCTAACCTCCCACCGGATTTAAAGTTCCTTTTACGCGATCTATAAATCACAACGGAATTTTATGTGTCATAAAATATAGAAGATGCTTTCATGGTAACATTTAACGTCTATAAAACTAAAACATGTTCTACTATTTATAATAAATAATAGACAGCCATGTTCTTGATATGCCCGAAAGGTCAATTGGCTGATGCAATCAAAGTCGCAAGAAAATCTAGATAATTTCTATTTATAAATCAATACCTGCTTGCTAAATGTAAAGTATTCTTTATCTGTAAAAATCAAATTTTATCTTCTTTATTTATG